AAGTCCTTCCCTTTTTGGCCGGTTGTGGGCGAGGAGGGATTCGAACCCCCGACACCGTGGTTCGTAGCCACGTGCTCTAATCCTCTGAGCTACAGGCCCCACCCCGTTTTCACTGGATCTGTTCCCGGGGGTACCCTAAAAAAAGGAACCTTTCCTCTCCCTAGCTATTTGGTCAGGTGGGTAAGCAGGTTTCGCCATTAATGGGTGCTCACTTATTTGTAAGCTACAATTCAGCATCTGGAAACTATTAGAACTTGGAACTAAACTGAATTCCAGCATTGAACATGAACTAAACTATTAGAACTTGGAACTAAACTGAATTCCAAGCATTCAACATGAACTAAACTATTAGAACTGGAAACTATTATGCTCAATTTGTAGTAAGCTACAATTGAGCATCTGCCTTTCGTTTTGTACAGAGCTTAAAACTGAATTCCAGCAACTATTTTATGTCATAAGCATGTTTCTTTGCTTCAAGATCCCCCCCTCTTGAAGGGAAATTCATGCATGAAGAACTCAGTATGAGTTTGTCAAAGTTTTATCTGGTAATATTATCAAACAAGTTCAAAAACAAAATTCCATACATAATCATTACTAGAAAGGTGATAACTTTGGTATAACATATGGATAATATCATCATACTGCTCCCAAAATATCAACCAAAACCAAATAGTCAGCACTACAAACGCCTATATTCTTTGTCAAATTTACAATCTCAAGTGGCCTCTGTTGTCATATACAAAGGTGCCATAGTTGGAAGTACAACACAATCATTTCCAGAATTCTTATTTTATGACGCTTATTTTATGACGTACCGCCAAGAAAGTGAGCTACAGCTTTATCAGTGTCGTTGTCATACATGAGTAATGCCTCGACCACTTTGTTGGATGGAAATCCCATCTCTCGTAGGAGTGTGTAGCCTTTCACAAATTCTTGAACCTACAAAATTACGCTCAAGTCAGTCAGCAAATCCAAACCAAAAAAACAAACAAAAAGAGTACTTTACGAGATGGAATAGAGGAGGAACTAAATCAGGACTCTATTAGAGTTTGGAACTAAATAAGAACGAAAATGAGACTATATTTTAACCTCGTAAAATGTGAGGTAACATTGCTATATTCAACCTTATAAAAGGTGAGGTAAAATTAAATTAAATAGCATAAGTTATAAGATAACATCAAAGAGTTGATAGATCCGCCATCTGTGCATCGCAAGCAAATGAGCAACTTGATTATAGTACATGGAGAAGTAAAGATAATCCTGCAAGCCCTTTACACATGATCAAGAATATACATATATATCCCAACCATTGTGGCAAATAAACAAGAGGGTTAGACTCATTGGACTTATCCTAACACCTTACAACACGAGCTAGACAACAACCATGCATCACCTCTATTTATGCTCCGAAGGATATCCCTCTCAATCAAGAGGACCCCTTCACAATTGTGTATAAATGGACTACATATAAATTAACTATTCTTATGAGACACGACTATCTAACTCTACAATATTTGTTTGACAAGAGAATTTGTAGGTCACAGGTGGCCACAAATGGTTTGAATCTGTTCTTTTTTAAGTATTTTATTATTTACATTGGCCATTATGGACTAAGCCCTATGTCAATCATGGTGGTTTATCAAGTATATATCAAATGCCATAAATACAATACATTACAATAAGATCATATCCCATTCCCCTAGGACGTAACTCCATCAATCATTCATAGTTACCTTGGTTGGATTGTCTCCATAATTAGCAACTGCAAGTGAAACTGCTTCCCGACTCAAGCCAGATGCAACATACTTGTTCACAACTGGATCTCCTGGAGAACCCTACAAGGAAACATGTATACTCATAACGACGAGGATAATAGATTGTGGAAATATGTAGACCTCCAAACGGAAAAGAGGTAACTGAAGCCTTGAAGACACACCATATAATACCATTTTAAGAAGAAGGCAATCAAATAGTATCTAGTACCGACTAGATAATCTTTCTTGTTCAAGAGACAATTAACACAAAGTACAAAATTAATAAATAAATAAAATTGCCAAGGAATATAATATATATGAGATACATGATATGAAGGAAAGAAATCAACCCAAGACGGATTAAAAGTTACAAATATGCTTTGGGTAAATGAAATTTTCCTTGATTAACCCCTGGTTAGAAAGTTAAAGTTATATTATGAAGCTATTTGATGAAGAAAAAAAGAACATTAGAACATAAGAAGGAAAAGAAGGTACCATTGAAGATGACGACTCTACTGGTCTAGAAGGAGGGTGTTCCAACCCAAACCGATTCCAATTCGGAGTTTCTTTCTCTGCTTCAGCTAAAACCTTTTTCTCAAACTCAAAATCAAATTGGAAATTGCTCCGAGGAATATCTCCAACTTGTGGCGATAATTGAGGCTAAAAGAAAATTATCGATCCATTAAAATCCGAAGCAAACATTTCCATTACCAGATTTAATAACCGGAAAGTCGATCATATCGCGATTCAATTCAGAAATCGATGAAACTCAAAATCAAAACTCACCGGAGGAGTAATTCGATATTCCGGTTTAATGGTAACCCGGATGCCCAATCCTGCTGTACAATCAACAAATCGAAATCAATACTTAAAAAAAAACGTATCACAAAAAAAAAAAAAAAAAAAA